CTGAGACGTCTCTCTGAGCTTTGCGCTAATCAAAACCGCAGCGTTTTCGGAGGATTACTCTAACGGTCGCTCTGAAGTGCCACATGTCTCTAAAAATAAACAGCTATTTCCCCTTGAACCGCTGAGAGAAGGAAAGTGGAGCGGCTGCGGAGAGAGAACCGCAATTTCAGAGCCAATATTAATCCCGTCTTTGAAACAAGATCACACTGATGTCCTCGCCGGGATTCTCATCGTAGTCCCAGAATGCTTTGTGCCTCTGTAATGAATAATTACGGACGTTAAGTGGGAAACTGCTGGTACAGGGAGATTTCGGAGGAGGAAAGTAGAGCTTTTGGAGAGAGGGCGGTGCTCAGTGGGATCATTAGTGCTGTGCAAAAAAAAGAGAAGCTAAGCCAGTGAGTGTGTGCTTTTCTTTTTCTTTCTCTTCGTTTTTGCTTAATAGTGTAATTGAGATAGTTTTATACATCAGGGTTTACTTAACTTCGTAATTTCTACCTAAATTTTATGTGCATCTTAACCCAGAATCTCTGTATGAGGGCTTTATAAGCACTTCATAAGAACATAACTTTAATATTAGTTTTTGTTTTCGTGATTGAATAATACACATTAGCTACAGGATAAAAAGTCTTAAGATCAATAGCTGAATAAGAAGCTTAGAGCTCAAGGGGTTAAAGACTTACTGAATTATGTAATCTAACCATTTTTGAAGATACAGTGAAGATTTATATTGCATAAAAGCAGATGTGAAGAGACAGTCAAACGCAAAGGTTTGGGCACCCCTCGTCAAAAGATGTTTTGTCGATTTTCTAAGTGAAAAATAATCTAACCATCCTCTACAGAGAACACATTTATGCACATTTTAACACATAATTACTGTTTATTTACAGAGTTTAAAAAAAAAAAGTTATGTGCAAAATTATGTCACATTGTATATTTTGTGTTTTATTTATTTATTTTATTTTTTTGTATATTTTGTGTTTTATATTCCAATGTGCTAAACTCAGCACATAAATAAAAATTGTAAATTTAAATGTTCATACAAAAATACCATATTTAAGGATGCTCTCTGGATGTGTTAACTTTTTTTCACTTAGAAAATGAACAAAACATGCAATTTGTATATGAGTGTACATCACTTGTAATAGAAACTGCTGTCAGGACAAAACCTTGCATCTGCAAAATGGTAACTTTACAGGAGGAGGAAAAAACATACTTTTCTTTTAATGTAAGTCAATGGAACCAGAAGTTTTTCCAAGTAATTTTGGGTCTATTCCTTTGCTCCATCTGTCATGAAATTAACACACCATATAAAGAGCAGTAGGCATTTTCAAAAAATGTCAAAAACAGAAAAATGATAAAAACAGAGATATGAGGTTTTGTTCTGAATGCAGCAAGATATATATATATATATATATATATATATATATATATATATATATATATATAGATAGATAGATAGATATATACACTTATTCAGCCTTTAGCAGTTAGTGCTTACACAGTTGCAACACGTGGGGGCAAAGGTGGTTCTTCTATGGCATCACTTAAAGAACCCTTTGTGGCACCTTTTTGTTTGACAACATTGTATTACCATCACCGTTGTATTTCCACATCGTCTCTAATAACTGGAGCTTGTAAAAGCTCTTAGGCTTCCCACTGTTCATCATATATTTGAAGTGAGTGTTAACACTCGTGCATGTATGATGTTTGGGTTTAATGATATGCAGTGGAAGTAGGAGTTCTGAGGTCTCTGGGTAATCACTATGGCGTGGATGTGTAAAAACATCAATCATGGAGCTGGTGTAATGAGGTCAGGCCAGAGTTTGGCAGCATGCCCAACACCCAACTGCACAAATGGTTGCTGCAATGTTAAAGAAACCATGCAGGTCCCCTTTTCCTAAACTGTTTGTTGTACTGTACTAGAAATAGTTTTTCCCCTTTGGCCTTATATTAAAGCGACAGTTTGATAAAATCACACAGTTTTCTCCTTAATAAGCTAATATGCACCAGTTAACATTGTTCAAACTGTATGCTTTTATTTGAGCGTTTTGTTTGGACATCAATAAAGGAATGAGGACAGGTGTGCTCAGTCCTGGTCCTGGAGATCTACCACCCTGAAGACTTCAGATCCAACACACCTGGCACTATTATTGAGATGCCCCTGAAGGCCTTCATTACCTGGATCAGGTGTGTTAGATTAGGGTTGGAGCTGAACTCTGCAGGGTGGTAGATTTCCAGGACCAGGACTGGGCACCTCTGAAAGAGAACATACATTTAACTGATCATAACTTGTACACCAGATGCAGATGTTTGGACTGTGATGTTACTTCATTCACCCTCTGTTTCATTTTTTGCAAATTTACATGATGCAGGAGAACTTGCTTAACCAGTCACTGTTGTTTCTGCTGTTGGCATAGCAACAACCAAGCTGACAGATCGTGCTCCAGAAACTAGAACTTTTTTTAGTATTTATTTACCTCAACACAATACTAATAATTTACAACACAAAAATTAAAACTAAACCAAACTACATGTAGAGGGTACAGTTAAATAAAGACACCTACACTCTCAGAAAAAAGGTAGTAAACTGTCACTGGGGCAGGACCCCTCTTTTCACTGGGGTGGGACCCTCAAGGGTACATCTCAGTACCTTTAGTCAGGAAACATAACTGTACCATAATCCACTAAAATTATATTTCCTAAGTTGTACTGACTCCACACACCCCGTCTCGTCTCCAGGCTTTTTATTTTATTGTTATATTTATTTTATTTTAAAACATTCGGTTATGAAAAGGTACAAATACGAACTTTTCACCCAGAAAAATTTATTTAAGGTGCACAGTTGGACCTTAAAACCACTGTTGAGGGAACATTTACATTGTTTGTACCTTGATAAACAAAAACTGTACCTGCACAGAACCTTTATTTCTAACAGTGTGGTGATTTTTAAAAGTTCACAGTCTTCACAGCTTTTTTATTTGTTAAATGAAAAGCAGTTTTCACATATCTTGGTCTCATCTATAATAAAAGAATCATGAACGGTGTGGCATTACTAGATTTACATTGATGAGCATAAAATGTTGCTGAGATTGTAATTAAGTTAATAATATAAATTTACTTTATCTCTGCAAACATTATTAAAAGCAAACAAAACATTTTCTAGGTACAGAGAAAGAACAGACTCAATATGATCAGTTACAAATCTGACCAAGTCTTTCCAAACCAGTTTTACGTAATCATAGTGCAGATAGAGCTTCTTGACAGACGTCATTTGTCCTGTTTCATCACGTATTGCGCTGACATCTCATGAGACAGACATCTATGTGCGAAAGAACTCAAAGGTCCTGAATGAGAAGGGGAACTCTCCGTGCTCTTCACGCTCTACTAAAATGTGGCAGTGTCACTGTTTGCTTGTTTTGTGAGAAAATTATATCAATTTACAATTGAATACATTCTGACTATTTGTTTGGTTTTTTTGTGTATCACAATAAACGTCACATCTGGTGTGTTCAGGTTGGCCACCTCAGCCCTGTGAAATTCCTGGACACTCTGGGATCTGGGATCTGGGACCCAGGGATCAAACTCGTGACCTCACATCGCTGCATTCTTAAAAATAAAGAAAAGGGTTTTTTGCATGATGCCACAGAAGGGCCTGTTCAATGCGGACCTGAAGAACTTTCAAAGAACCTCCACAAAATGTAAAGGTTCTAGTTGGAACCCTTAAATTGGTAAAGAACCTCTGCACTAAGGTTCTTTAAGGCTTTAAACATTTCTTCACACTGACATTTCTTTTTCAAACATGACTCTTTGGGAACCAAAAATGGTTCTTCAATGCAGGCATTTTTTAAAACCGTGCCGAGAGCCTAAACACTGCATCTCTCTGAAACAGTGTCCCTACATTGAGGATAATCTAAAATCCTATTCTTTGTATACAAATGTTTTATAGGATAAAAAGTAGCTGTTTAAACTTCATAAGAAAGGATGACATATGAAAATGCATGCACTGTTAGAAATAAAGGTTCTGTGCAGGTACACTTTTCGTTCATCAAGGTACAAACAATGTAAATGTTCCCTCAAAGGTACAACAGTGGTTTTAAGGTCCAACTGTGTACCTTAAATAAGTTTTTCCAGGTGAAAAGTACATATTTGTACCTTTTCATAACCGAATGTTTTAAAACAGAACAATAAAATAAAAGCCTGTAGACGAGACGGGGTGTGTGGAGTCAGTACAGCTTAGAAAATATAATTTTAATGGATTTTGTACAGTTATGTTCCCTGACTAAAGGTACTAAGATGTTCTCCCTGAGGGTCCCACCCCAGGGACAAGAGGGGTACTGCCCCAGTGACAGTTTAGCACCTTTATTTCTGAGAGTGTGGACACCAGGAAATATTGTGTCCAGGATTTTGCTGCTTATTCGCATCTCATTTGTTGTGAACTGTCTCACACCATGTTTATAGATAACAGTATAACATAGTGTCAGAAACCACATGAGCAAGAATATTTGAGATTACTTAACTACTCAACACAGTTTGATGCAAATATTGGATGATTTAACATGCGATTTGCAGAATGCTACTTGATGAGGTATCAGCTTCCATTACTAGCTACATTAGCCTCGTAGCTGCAGTGTAAAACAAAAGCAGCAAACTAGAGATACCAAACATGTCTTGGCTGATCAGCTACATTTGTGATAAGGCTAAACTGTGTAAATATGATTGATTGCCAAACTATTGCTTTAGTAAAGGTTTTAAAGAGCAGCACTTCAGTCTGTGCGGTGTTGACTGTGTAATGATGTTAGCTGACAGTACACTCCTTTATCAGGCTGAGGATGGATCTGTTGATAATGGAGCCAGGTGCTTTGTGAAGACTTTGATCCCTCAACGATCTCTGCAGCTTTACAGCATATGATAAACAGTGATAAACATGATGCAAAGAAAAACAAATCATTAACTATGGCATGTTGTAAACTGACCGTAGGATTGTTTCTTTTCTCTTACAGGTTTTGTCCAATGCGCGCCTTTTCCTGGAGAATCTTATAAAGTAAGTGCGCAGTAGATCATGCAAAATTCCCGTAACGTCTTGCATTGCAGTTCATTTATTGAACTTATTGTGCATCACAACATACAATGCTGTGCAAAAGTCAGAGACCACCATGCATGGTTCTAAAGGAGTGGCCGGAATGACCAGTGCCTTCCCTGAAATCTGATTGGCCACCGAAGGTGCGACCACAAAATTTCTGCCACATCATTGACTGTTTGACCCTTTAAGAGGATAGTTGTTTCACTATTGGTGGAACAACTGTTCCATAGCTTCCCACACCCCCCTGCCCCCAACTCACACATTCATTGTGAGTGCATCTCATCGATCCTGCTTTGCCTTTAAGGGGAGAGTTGGTTTCGCTAACGCTGCTCTGCAAAACAACTGTCCAGCGTCTCTCCAAAGCCCCTCTGCACATTCACATCCACCTGGATCTCCCTGTGACCCCTTTCCAACCCCTGCTAAATTTTCTCAATCCACCACTGGAGACCACCCTTCACTGATTTATTTTTCAGTCAAAACAGCCATTACGTTCATTTTTCAGCATCAGAAAAAAACAGAAAAATTATATTTAACAGAAGTGTTTGTCCTCTTTCTCAAAGATGTGAGCTTTAAATACTGTTTATCTGATGAGGACAGTTTTGGGGGTCTCCTAGGTCTTGCATCTTTGTTAGGAGTTCCATTTTTTTCTGTATCTTTTTCCTTTGTCTTTCTCATTCCTTATGCAAACTGAACATCTTATATTTAATCTTCTCTGGAATATATTCTAAAAAATGAATAACTTGAACTTAATGGATGTTTTGACTGGAAATGAAATCAATGAATGGTCTCTGACTTGCACATTACTAGTAATACATGAATTACACTATAATTCTAGACAACAAGAGAGCCAATGCATGTTCCTGACGTTTCAGAAAGAAGTTACACTAAATGCTAACCACAGCCATTACAACAGAAACTGCAAAGTTAGCCCAACTTCTCTCCCCAGTGTTCATAGCCTTGCCTCGTAAAGCTGGTGGGGTCATTATGCAGGTTTTGATACATCTGTGTGTGTTTCTTATTACAGACATCAGTAGAGAGTGTTAGACTTATTCCGTTGATTTCAGCTATGAGATCATGGTTATGGTATATTATGGTATGTTATGGAAAAGAACAGGCAACAGTGGCAGTAAAAGTTCTTGATGGTCCCTTGTTTCTTTTGTTTTCAACTCCACAGATATGGAATACTGGTGGACCCCATCCAGGTGGTCTCCCTCTTTTTAAAGGACCCATACAGCTGGCCCGCCCCATGCCTTATCATCGGTAATCCTACAGATCACCCTTATATCAGAAACAGTTAACAGACAACAGCATTTTTCACAGAATGTAAAGAAAGAGTGAAAACTTTATTTTTAATAATAGTTTTTATTTTCACAGTAGCTATAAAATGCAATTTCAACATGTTTTAGATGTCCTACTTAATATTTTTTATTGCACTAGAAATAAAAATAAACAACATGTAAATTAGATTTTAGTTATGTTTTGAATTAAACTGTGTTGTTTAATTTTATTTTAAAAAATATCCAACAATTCGTTTTTGAGGCCTACAGAAAGGGGTTAAATGTGTTTTATCAGTCATTAAAGGTTCATATCCTACATTCTTCTTGACCTTTACTGTTTTGTCCACTTATAACACTTGTTTGGTTTGTTTTTCCATGACGTGTCCTTTAGCAGCGCTGTTGTGTTTAAGCTAAGCTAAAAAAAAAAAATCAATCACTGTTGCATTTATTCAGTAATGCCACAAATCAATCAATTCAATAAAGCAGGCATTTAAACAGGCCTACTTTAGCCATCAGATCAAGGTTATTAGCTCTTCTCTTATTTTATTTGGGATCTGCTAAATACTGGGAGAGGGAAAAGTACCATTTGTGAATCTGTGGAAATGAACCAGATGTCATTAACCAGTTATTAATATTTCATTAGATTTTTTTCTGTTTTTATGTTCTGTTTGTATTCAAAAATGTTCTTTTTTCCATATTTTTTACCAGCATCATTTTCTTTGCCTGATTTTGGTGACTGGATTTTATACCCTTTCACTCTTCTGCCTGTATTAGGCACAAAACCAAGTCTATTCATTAATCTAAACTGGGTCGAATAGTGAGCTGCAGCTGCCTAATTGAAGCCGGTCCTTTCCGTACAGTATTCAGCTCGCCTCCTGTACGCAACACATCATAATATTATGAAGTGTGTCTGATTTGTGGATTTGCTCTTGCAGTGTCCAATGTGTTCATAATGGCAGCTCTGTACACGGAGCGGAGGCTGGCTGTGGTGAGTGTCACGCTCTAATCACTGAGACCAATAGAGACATCTGTGAAACTGTGTGTGAAATCTGTCAACTGTGTGGTTCTCGCTGGAGCTGTTATCATGTAATCAGTTATAGTGAGTTACAAACTCCTGAATGCGTAGATCAAGTACTGACATCTTTCTGTTGCCGGTCTCAGGGCACGATCTCAGAGGGTACCGGAACATTCCTTTATTGTGTCAATCTTGGTGCCATTTTGTGCTTTCCATCAGCCACTATACTTACATTGAACTCCATGACCCCAGGTAAGATTTCCATTTACAACAGTCAAAAGAGACGATTACACTATCTACTATAACTGTTCTGCTATGACACTGCGGACTGTAATCTCTGTCATCAATATTCAGAGGTTTGTCATTAGAAACATGAACTGGGTTTTGGCTCATCACCGAGACCTGCTGTTTATATTTCGAACCCTCTGTGCTCTCTGTAACAATGTACAGTGGTGCTTGAAAGTGTGTGAACCGTTTTGAATTTTCTATATTTCTGCATAAATTTGACCTAAAACTTCATCAGATTTTCACACAAGTCTTTTAATAGCAGATAATGAGAACCAAATTAAACACACACACACACACACACACACACACACACACACACACACACATCATCTAAACCGCTTGTCCTTCTGGGTCGCGATGGGGTGCTGGAGCCTATCCCAGCTGTCATTGGGCGGAAGGCAGGATACACCCTGGACAGGTCGCCAGTCCATCGCAGGGCACCAAATTAAACAAATGAGACAAAAATATTAGACTTGGTCATTTATTTATTGAGGAAAATGATCTGATATTAAAAACCTGTGAGTGGCAAAAGTATGTGAACCTTTAGGATTAGCAGATGATTTGAAGATGAAATTAGAGTCAGGTGTTTTCAATCAGTGGGATGACAATCAGGTGTGAGTGACCTCCTCATTTTATTTAAAGAACAGGGGTTTATCACAGGCTGATCTTCACAACACATGTTTGTGGAAGCGTATTGTGGCATGAACAAAGGAGATTTCTGAGGACCTCAGAAGAAGAGTTGTTGATGCTCATCAGGCTGGAAACTGTTTTAAAATCATCTCTAAAGAGTTTGGACTCCATCAATCCACCTGCAGTTTGCTAAAGATCACATGAACAAGCCAGAAGACTATCGGAACAATGTTTTGTCAATGTTTTATGGATGGATGAGACCAAAATAGAACTTTTTGGTTTAAATGAAAACTTTACGTTTGGAGGAAAACACTGCATATCCCATCTGTGAAACATGGTGGTGGTAGTATTATGGTTTAGGCCTGTTTTGCTGCATCTGGGCCAGGACTGCTTGCCATCATGGAACAATGAACTCTGAATTATACAGGCAAATTCTAAAGGAAAATGTCAGGACATCTGTCTGTGAGCTGAAACTCAAGAGAACATGGGTCATGCAGCAAGACAATGACCCTAAGCACACACGTCATTAAACCAAAGAATGGTTAAAGAAGAATAAAGTTGATATTTGGGAATGGCCAAGTCAAAGTTCTGACCTTAATCCTATAAACATGTTGTGGAAGGACCTGAAGCAAGCAGTTCATGGGAGGAAACCCACCAACATAACAGAGTTGGAGCTGTTTTGTACGGAGGAATGGGCTAAAACTCCACAAAGCCGATGTTCAGAACTAATCAACAGTTACCAGAAACGTTTAGTTGCAGTAATTGCTGCACAAAGGGGTCACACCAGATACTGAGAGCAAATGTTCACATAGTTTTGCCATATTGGATCAATATTAGATCATTTTCCTCAATAAATAAATGAACAAATAGTTTTGTCTCATTTGTTAAATGTGGTTCTCTTTATCTACTATTAGGACTTGTGTGAAAAGTCAAATTTATGTAGAAATATAGAACATTTTAAAGGGTTCACAAACTTTCAAGCACCACTGTGACCTATATTTAAATTATTACTGAGTTTGACTTTGGGGAGCTGTTTACTTTATTACATTTTTCTAACTTTAAAGATCTGTTTAAACCTTTCTTTTTTATCTGTTAAAGTTATTTTAAAATATATCATTACATTCTCTCATTCTAATTTCCAAACATTATCTGTCTAGAAGCTTCATATACTTTATGTTCAAATCTTTAGTGTTAGTACTTCATTAAACATTATGTTCAACTGATATATGTTTAGTGCTCCTGTAAGTTATCACAATATAAACTTTAAAAATTTATAGCAGGTAAATTTCATCAACTTATATTGTTCATCAGCTTCATCAACCAATAATCGGTATTGGCTCTCAAAATCACATATCGGTCGACCCCTAGTTGTCTTCTCACAGTGGAAGGATGGACAGAAATACCTGTGTATTTTTTTCAAGTGGAGCTTGATCTCTCAAAGATGAAATCTTTAAGTGCTGTTTATCTGAGGGTGAAATTATTACTGACATTTTGCTATATTATTAAAATATAATTATGTAATTCCATAGCTTATTACATAGCTAATTACATAATAAATTACATTTACATATAATTCACATACTATATCAACAATGACAGACAGAGTTCAATGTTCAAGACTACACACAGCAATTAAATTAATAGAATATATTTGCCTTTACTGTGAATTTCTCATCAAATTTCAACATGTTTTTATTATCACCACTGATAGCGTGTGTTTGGTGTTTAGAAGTATCTTGTGTTTGCAGTGGGTGGCGTCTTTGCGCTGGGGGTCTACACTGTCCTCCTGCTGAAGCTCTACTCCTACAAGGACGTCAACAAGTGGTGCAGGGAGATCAGGCAGGCCAAAGCCCGCACCCTGTCCCGCTCCAACTCCTGTGAGTACAAACAAGCTCCCACAAAATGAGCACATAGCACTGTCTGTCTGTCTATCGTCACTGTCTGAAGAAAAACAAGTATCTCCAAAACAGCACTTTTAATGTAAGTGAATGTAAATTAGTTTTATTCCAAGAAATTTTGGAGGATTTCTGTTGGTCCATTCAATATGAGATGTTTACACGATGTAAAGGGCAGTTTGTGTGCTCAAATGATGTAGAAAAATAAAAATCTAAAAAAATGGAGATATTTGGGTTTTGTTTTTGGACAGTGATGCTATACATTAACCATCAAAAGGTTTTCTTTTTTATTTTAGTTTTCAGAGTAAAGCTGCAGAGTAAAATTTACCTTTTCATTTTAATGAAAAAGGACACAAGAATTCACTTCTAATGGCGACTAATTTCACTTTGCGCTGGGTGAACTTTAAGTAAAACTGTGTGGATTGGAGGAGCCGCTCCCCAGTCAACATAATTTTCCTCATCACTCACAGCTGCAAAAAATAATTTAGGCTTTTTTACATGTAACAAATCATGCTGTAAGCGCGTGGTCCTCCACCACAAAGCAGAGAGGTGCTTTTAGTTACTGAACTCTAACGCAGGTCTCAGATTGCTTTTGCTTACAGAAGAGAGTTTGTATTTCCCTCTGAAGAAACAGGCTGTCGGGTTAAAGGCTGCAGTGTAAAGTGGATAAGTGTGCGTGTGCTTTAATTGTGGACTTGTTTATCCAGCTGACCTGCTGTGCATTAACATGAGGTGAAGCGGAGTGTGACTTAATGAGGCATTTGACTCCGGTCACCATGGCTGACGTGTGACCTGGGCGCCTTTGCTTTCGCTTAGTGGCTTTTAGTGTTTGAATGTTTAAACGCTGTGTTTAGAGTAGACTACATGAACAAACATATGTATGCGCACCCTGCATACATTCCACTCCTACTGTCTGCTGTCTGCTGTCACACTGGAGATGAACTTGACCTCCTGTGCTTTATAATACTGCCATCTGCTGGAGAGACTGGAGGACCCTTATTTCTGCTAAACTGTACAACAGCAGAGCTGATGATCACAGAGTCATGTATGAAATCTTAAATTTCACCACAGTTCAATTTGATTATCTTAAAGGGGAACTCCACCATTTTTTTTACGTTTTCCATAAATAAATGCTTAAGATGTAAATGAAGTCATTCAGCATGGTTTGATGTGAAATGTTAGAGATTCTAGAGAAAATTTCGGAGTCAGAATTGTTCACAGTGGTGGTGATAGGAACCAGATGTCTATAGATTTTCACACTACTAGTTTTTACAGTAAATAATTCAAAATATGTTTGTTCTTTTGAGAGATTCTGTAGAGTTAAATGCAAGGCCTAAATCTACATAATACACACACACACACACACACACACACACACACAAAAACTTTTTTGGCCATATGTGCATTGTAGACAGTGTGACCCCTGGTTCCTCTCACCACAACTGTAATAAAAAATAATGTTTCAAGTTTCTCTACAGTGATCCATTTCACATCAAACCACTCTGAATAACTTTATTTACATCTCTTCATCTTTAAATACAGTCGCTGCAAAAAGTATTTGGAGATTTGTGCTTAAAAATGTATTATTATTATATTATATTCATTGTGCAAGGAAACAAAATGTAAAACCATGTTGCATTTATTTTAACCCCTTAAATGGCCTTGGGCCCACCAGCAGCCCAGAGTTTATTACACACTTCCATAACCTAGGAATAGCTCAACCACTTTGCACTGAAGTCCCGATAGTTACTGAATAATAAGCAATAATAAAGAATAATAATGAATAATAATTTACTGTAAAGGAAAGCTTTAGGTAATTATCCTGATTAGTTCTACATGTAAAATTCTTTGTCCTTTCTCTCTGCTCTGCTGATGTACGTGTTCCACTGCAGGTCCGTCTGTGCACAGGGCCAATGGGAATGCAGTACACAGTCATGTGACCTACCCAGGCAATCTCACCCACAGAGGTACTGCTGCTGTTTTTCTCTACACTGTATGAATAAAGATAGTGAAAGGCCTCATGTAGGACTGTGAAACTGTAAAAGGCTGGACACTCCTGAGTGAATGTATATCATCCTGATGTATATATGTATATATGTATATACTAATATATATATATATATATATATATATATATATATATATATATATATATATATATATATCGCTGCTGTCGGATCAAAACCTCATATCTCCAAAATAGTAACTTTACAGGAGAAAGAACACTTTACCTTTAATGTAAGTCAATGGAACCAGACATTTGTCCATGTAATTTTGGGACATTTCTTTTGGTCCATTCATCATGACATCTACACACAATATGTTGTTGATTTTCTAAGTGATAAGAAATGAACACATCCTTTAGAGAGAACACACTTCTGCACATTTTAATGCACAATTACTGTGCATTTCATATTGTGGGGGGGGATAAAACAAAAATGTAGCCCGTGCAATAAAAAAAAGAGTTTCTAATACAAATGCATAAAGTGATGCTAACTGTTAGTGTTGATTGTTGCTGCTAATGTATTCATTTATTTATTTCCAAAATGAAAAAGTGACTTTTTTTAAACGTCCACACAACACATAGTTCTGTGTGGTCAATCAAGCTTCCGATATATGTGTATTGTCTTCAGCCCTGTTGGAAAAGCGTTCCAGGTGGACCTGTTTTCACTTTTCTGACTATGAGACTATTCTGATGAGATGAGAAAATAGTAAAAATAAATTAAGTAAAACTCTTCATGAGTTGATGTATCCAAACTTTTGACTGCACTTACCAAACATGCCATTCACTGTTTACTTGGAGTGATGAAATGTTGTTAAGGCATGAAGCTTTCAGTGTGTGCCGTGTCACTCACTCACATTTCTTTCCTCTATTTTCGTTTAGATATGTACTATTTCATTTTCGCCCCAACACTGTGCTACGAGCTAAACTTCCCCCGATCTCCACGGATACGCAAACGCTTTCTGCTGAGGAGACTTCTGGAGATGGTGAGAGTTTTAATCGCACATCAAAACAGTCCTGAAATACGGCTCTGTTTACATTCTGATCACAAATAAGCATTGAGTAACATTTAAATTCAACTGCACTGTCATTCAACAGTTTGAATTCATTTGAAGTCAATTAATATTTTTTATTTTATATACAGTAAACTTTACAATGTGAATAAAGTATTATATAATAAACACATAAAAAGTATTTCTAATGTTTTATTCAGTATTTCAGGTAGTTTGGAAACAACAGAAAGTTATAAAGTTACAAATAATAGCCTGTAGTGACGATAATACGTTTTAGTCCAGTCATCTGCCTTGAACTCTCATGAAAGGCATTCAGGATATTAATTTTACTATTACTTCTTGATATTATACGGCTTTCTCAGCCATTTACAGCACCTTTCTGATCAGTTCATTTTTACAGCTTCCTTATAATTATTGTAAAGCTGTTGAACATGACTTGCAGACGAATCATTTCATACACTCATCTGTAACTGAATGGTAGTGTATATCCACTTATTAGCCACTATTATCACATTTTTGGGATATATGTTTTTTAGCACTTTCATTCACTCAGGGCGTATCCTAAGGATATACTGAGTATCTGTATGTTTACATGTAATTCGTTTAGCTTTACATATACATATATGTTCTTATTACAGCTATTTTTGATGCAGTTACAAGTTGGATTGATACAGCAGGTACGTGTGGACCATCTGAAACATATTGACCTTCAGTGCTTCTATTGGTGATCTGTGTATGGCCTGTAATTAACGGTCTCTCTATTTTCCAGTGGATGGTGCCGACCGTTCAAAACTCCATGAAGCCTTTTCAGGTAAAGCCTCATTACGCTTGTCAGCTGTGCCGGTCGTGACATTCACCCAGAGGATTTTTCAATGCTGTAATCATTCATTATTTCAGTAGACAGAATAATATGTAATACCTTAAACAGAGGAGACTCTGCTCTGCCTAACTGAACCACAGGGGTGGATAAACACCCAGAGAAACTGTGCTTAAATTAAGCTAATGGTTATAAGTTAGTGATTATGCAGTCATATGGAACAGTTTGAACACCGTTGGTTCAGCTGTGTGAAAATAAGTGAAAACATGAGAACACACTCCTGAACATTTTAGTACAATATTACTTTAAATTTAATTTAAAATTTTAAAATAATTTTATTTATTTAAATTAATTTAAATTTGTTGAATTTAACATAATGGGGAAAATAAAATGTGGCCTGTGTAAAAGTTATAGCACATATCATAAGGGTTATTTTTCCCAGTAATTTTACTGACAATAGATGCTTATTAGGTGGTCAAAGAAATGCTTATTCACTGTGATGGTGTGGAGCTGGAGCTGTTACTGTGGCCTGGCAGAGTGTTTGCTTTTGCATTTAGTTGAATATGAATTGTTTCTCTTGTGACAGAACATGGAGTTGTCTAGGATGGTGGAGCGCCTCCTGAAGCTCGCTGTGAGTACTGCAGTAACTCAGAGTAGAAATGGTGTTACTGATGTGCGGTGTTGTTTATGCTTCCCTTTGTCATCATTGTGTCTAATAACACATTAATGGTACTTACCTTTCTCTACATCAGGTGCCCAATCATTTGATATGGCTCATCTTTTTCTACTGGTTTTTCCATTCCTCCATGAACTTTGTGGCTGAGCTGATGCAGTTTGGAGACAGAGAGTTTTACAGAGACTGGTGGTGAGTTCACTCTCTGTCTGGTGTTTGTCTGGATCAGGATCTTGTAAGATTTAGTGTAGAAAGACAGGTGAATCAAAGCAATGCTAACTTTTGGATCCTGATTAGGTTTGTTGCTGTAATTATAACGGAATGTACGACACCGTTTACAGAAGCTACACTCAAGAAAGAGTCCTAAACGGTTCATGACTTGGACGTAGGTTTCTAAGTGGAATCTTTAGCGGATATAGAACCTTTTCATTATTCTGAGACAGAAAAAGGATAAGAAATGAAAGAAGAAGACAGAAAGTAATAAACAAAGAAACAAAATAGAAAAATTAAAGAAATTAAGAATGAAAAATGAGATGAGAAAAAGAAACATAAAGAAAGTAAAACAAAAGTAGTTTTTTTAGACTGTACAGTTTGTTACTAAACTAGTTAAAATGTTAAATGTAGGTTCTCTAACTGGGTGCTGGCAGCTTTCCTGCTGATCTAAATCAGTCGTCCTTGCAGGCCAACTTTGGCCCACAGGCCTCACATTGGGCAGCTCTTGTATAGAGGGAGTGTCATGTTTGGGATTTTGCTCTTCCAGCAGACTTCCTTAAACAAATAAGTTCATGCATGATGACAATTATTGCTCAGTTCCTGGAGTCCTGTTACTCTTTATTAGACCAAACTTTCAGTATAATCTCCATAGAAAACCATAGAAAAGCACTGATCAATAGAATGAGATGCTCTGGAGCAGCCAAACATGAGCACAAGGTTACCAAGCTTAATGCCAAGTGTTGACTAGAGGGGCATAAAGCCCCCCAGAGTTGGGCAGTGGAGCAGTGGAACTGTGTTCTCTGGACTGATGGAGCTCCATCCAGTATCTTTTGGATGAGTTGAAGAGCTAATCATCCAACATCAGCACCTGACCTCACTAATGCTCAATCAAATCCTCACAGCAATGTTCCAACATCTCCAGAAGAGTAGAGTCTGTTACTGCAGCAGAGAGGGACAAAGTCTTCCTTAATATATTTGACTTCAGAAGAAACAGGTGTCTGCAATCTTTTGGACAAAGTTTATTTACACACTCACCATTTTTGTATGTATCTGATTTGCCCTGCCTACAGTTTTATTTTGATTAATAACATTTCTATCTGTCTACAGGAACTCAGAAACTGTCCCCTATTTTTGGGCAAACTGGAACATCCCTGTTCACAAATGGTGCCTCCGGTGAGTTTAGGGTGTAAGACAGTGTTTCTGTGACTGGTTTGTGTCCATATTAAGATATTTAAAAAGCACAACCAATGAAAGTTCAACAGTTTCCATTTGTTTTAAATCTACATTTTCATTACAGTACATTAACTTTATCTGCCTCTGCTTTTTAATTGCCCTCAGACACTTTTATAAACCCATGCTGAGGAGAGGTGTAAACAAGCTGGCAGCTCAGATCGCCGTGTTCCTGCTCTCCGCATTCTTCCATGAGGTCAGGAAGGACAGCTACAAAATATCTATCCCAACATAAGACCATAGTATGAGACTGCAGTTCATACAGTCATTGTGCCAATTATAAGAAATAGTTAAGTGACAAATAACCTTTACACAGTTTCCCCCTTAACTCAAACGTAGTTGATCAGCCATGTTTGGTGTCTTAAGTCTACTTCGCTGGAGCTACAAGGCTAATGTAGCAATTTAGCATCATGCAAACTGCGCACCTGTTTTAAAAACTATGTGGAGTTGTGGTTTCTGATACTGCATGACAGTTTGCTCAATGTTAATTGATGCTAATGTAACCAACTACTAAGACTGAACTTTGGCGGTATACTAGCTACTTGCTTTCGACACACAGTAAATAAAAGTTGTTAGCTCACTGTGAGACTTTCAGTTTAAGATGATCTGGCTTTAATCATCAAAAAGTGGACAAAGTCTCAGAATGTCTACTTACAGGTTGCGGTTGGGGTTGTGATGCTAATAAAGTTGGAACTGCCCCACTCTGTAGTGTCAAACACTGAGCGAAGCTGGCTTTATATTGTCCAAGGCCTGAGAAACTGACGGAGTGAAATGTGCAGAGCAAACTAACGCCACTATTCGCCAGGTTGTTTTGTGAATTTTCCATTCCACCTTAAATGGTGTCACAGTTAAATTCTGGCAGTGTACATTCTGGCGCCTGCACAAGTTGTAGTATTTGAGGTGGAGCTAAATATACTCGATTAAGAAGCTGGCGACTAGGAAGCCAACTTCAGCCTCGTTTAAAGCCATGCCATTGTTTTGTTCTTCACAGTACCTGCTGCGCTAGAACGTGGGCTGGTGTATGTAAATTTTAGGGATGTAAATATTAATGAGCTACAACTGTTACATAACAGCTTAGGATTTTGGAATTGGCCCATTTTACTGCCCTCTTTTTGTATTTGTATTTGAACAAGGAGAAAGCAGTTCAGTTCCATGTACTGAACTCTCCTTATTCAACAATGCCAATGTAAATGCGGTTCAAATCTATGGCAACTTTAAATAATTTTTTGGTTAACTTGTACTTGATGGCCATTTTGTATGGAAATTAAGTGGCAGGATGGCCTTTGATGTCTGTACAGTACTTTATAAGCAACATTTGGCATAAGAGGAAAACTCACTTAAATAACACTGTCCAGTGTGTATCGTCCACTCAAAATCCTTTAGTTAGAGTCCCCCAAGTTTTTGGTTTTAGCCGGGTAAGCATGAGATATAAACTCTAAAGTACTAGATATTTATTGTGAGTGACGTGATAGTAAGTTCTGAGACAGTTTACCTTGAAATGCCAAACAGGTTCCACACTTTTAAAAATGATGGTTCTTAGAGAAAAGAAAAAGGTTCTATATAGAAATATGAACACTCAAAGAACCCTTTCCACGATTAAGGGTTTCTTTGCATCATCAGATTGCGTCTTCAGATGGATGGAGAATGTGCTATAGATGGTTCTATACAGAACCTTTCTAAATAGGATTCTATATAGTACCAAAAAGGGTTCTTCTGTTGTTACCATGTCAAGCTTCTAACAATAGAAGTACCCCTTTTCGGTGCTATATAGAACCATATGTAACACATTCTCCATCAATCTGAAGAACACTTTCAGCATGCAGATGGTTCTTTGAGTGTTCATGAACCATCATGGTTAAGAGTGTAGGTATTATCTGAGTAAGTGTGAGGTACATTTTTTTTTTAAGTGCTGTGTGGAGTAAAATTATAAGGATCAAAACAGTCTGATTAAAGTACACTGAAACACCCAATAGGTTCTAGCTATTAAGCTGATAAAAACATACTAAAATACCTTCTAAACATTTGGAAGAACAAACGTCACGTTTACAGGAAAGTAAATCAGAAACACCCCCAAATACCCAGCAGTTATTTGGCGTTTTCTGAAGTAAATGGTAGAAACCACAGTAAGAATCACTGTCCAGTTTTGTTTATAAGTAATAAACAGGGACATTCTATGTAAAAGCTTTTGTACTTTATTTGTACAACCTTCTTACATCAGATAACTACCCAAAATAATTGGAATTGGAGTTTGTATCGCATACATGCTCAGACAATACTAATAATAAACATGTTGGGCATGTCAATGCATTTTAGTAACACTGTCTTGGAACTTACCATCATGTTACCCAAAAGTAATGACCTAGAATTTTATCTCATACTTACCCAGTTAATACCTAGAACTTGAGGAACTGTAAAAGAAAGCGTTCCTAGTCATTTTCAGTCTAGGACAAGGTTTAAAGACCTGTCCTTACTCTCCAGAGAACAGTCTACACGTGTCTGATCCTCACAGCCTAATTTGTTTGCTCTTTTCTAGTACCTTGTGAGTGTTCCTCTGAAGATGTTCCGTCTGTGGGCGTTCATGGGAATGATGGCCCAGGTACAGTCGCTGATCTTAGCATCATAGCTTTTAATAATAAGCTAACGAGCAGTTGTTTTAGTTTCCTGCCTTTTGTGTTTCAGGTGCCCCTTGCCTTGTTCGTGGCCCGGTTCTTGAGGGGTAACTACGGCAACGCAGCAGTCTGGATGTCCTTGATCATTGGTCAGCCTATCGCTGTACTGATGTATGTCCATGACTACTACGTGCTTCATTACGGAGGCGTGTCGGAGGCCGGGACAGCCTGACTTATGCTGCAATAAGCAAAAAACTGGACGTTAAAGTAAAACCTATTTTTGATGCTAAATTAAAGAAGATTTTTAAGGATATTTTTACCCTTTTAATAAAAAAGCAACAACAGTGATTATTTCATTGCCACAGAGAGACCAGTCCTCTTCTAATGCACTTTACAGGCGCAGACAGAGAATGTGCAACGGTCCTGAAACACTGCCCAGCCAAAGCGACACAGCATTGCAATGCCTTTTTACATTTTCCTACTTGAAACTTTCGCACTAAGATGATCAATGCAAACAGGCACCGTTTGTACTTTGCCAAAAATGTGATTCTGTGTTGTTTGCCAAATATGTGATTTTTGCATTTGTGTCAGGTTGTTCTCTGAATGCCTTTCGATTAAGGTTCTTGATACATTGTATGCACTGTGTCAAATGGGTTGAAGAGTTTCCGTTTTTTATTCATTTGCTTTTGCTGACAAAGTAAAACCTTTTGTTTTTGCACTTTATCGAAAAAGCATGCAGTTGCTGAGCTTTAATAAGGTTGATTTTGAAGAATGTAAGCTTGATTTATTTTATCCATTATTTCACAAATTACATGTAACTTAATTATAATTCAAGCATATATATGTTGCATACTGAAAATACATTAATGAATGTTTCATCACAAAAATGCATTAATGAACCGACTGATTCAGCTTCAGTATTTTCGTTTTTAATTACTGTGCACGTTCTATTTGTGTAAACGATTGTCAGGATAGTATCTAAGTGATACTTACTATACTGTTTATTCATTTCTATTTTCATGTGCCTGAAACACCAGTCAAATAACATAGTTTTGATGTTCACTCAGGCCCCACAGTATGTTGTCTCACACAGTATTGGGATGGTTAGCAACCGTCTGTTGTTACAGACCATTCTTACCTGGACACATTAGGAGTCGCTTTGTAACACACTGGTTTAACTTTTTCAGACATTCTAGACTTTTCCACTTAACCCTTTACTGTATGAATTATGAAAATGCACCTGAAAGCAAATGTTTTTGTGAACTTTCTTATGAAAAATGACATAATTGGTGGAAATATAAAAATATTTTTTGGAAAAAAAAAAAAAAGTTTGTGGAGGACATTGAATTTTGTTGCCATATGGAAACAGTGTGTGGCAATGAAACTGCAATCTGCAATGCATTACAATACAATGCCATAAGACACATTCTTCATCCAGCCATATATGCAAGTATGTTTTGAGAATACAGACATTATTTGAAAATAATTCTACTTATAAAAACACCAATTTGTAAAATAAAAAACACTATTTATTCATTTACTGCAGATTGCAATTCCATTGTTGCATGCTGTTGCCATAGGGAAACAATTATATTTTGGCATTTTCTATAAAAATCTAAGCATCTAAACTGTTATCTATGAAAAAAACTGCAATTTGTTCTTGAAGTAGTGTATAAAAACTGAAGTATACAGACTTTGGGAGCACTTCAGAAGCCAGGCCTCACCATGTGATGTGTATGAAAAAAGTACAATTTACAAAAAGAAGACGTTATCATAAAAAAGTACACCATTTATTACATGAGGCCTTTAGTTTGCCAAAAAAAAAAGAAAAAAAAAGACTTTTATATTGTCGTCAGACAAACAAATTAAAGAATGTAACTGTTTCCATATGGCAATATTATGCAGCAAAGGGTTAATTCTATTTTGATGCAGAATCAGTTTCCTAAGTGTTTTTATCTTTCTGAGAGTTGATCCCTTTTCACCTTAAGAGTACTATAGACACTATTTTGCCCACAGTATTTAAAATTATGAACAGATTTGAAAATGAAAATGTACGCACACATATGCCTCTGTAAATGTAAATGTGCAGTTGAAGATGCAGTGATACATCCCTGTGCACTGAGACTCCAATGTGGCAGCTGATGTTCCATTTCAATAAAACTTGTCAAACCAAAGTCGTCTTTCAGATGTTATGCAAGAGGAAACGGTGGTTATGACCACCTCCTTGTTTCTACACTCATTGTCCTTTTTTATCAGCTCCACTTTCTATATAGGTGCACTTTGTAGTTCTACAGTTACAGACTGTAGTCCATCTGTTTCTCTGCATACTTTGTTAGCCCCCTTTTACCCTGTTCTTCAGTGGTCAGGACCCCCATGGACCCTCACAGAGCAGATACTCTTTTGGGTGGTGGGTCATTCTCAGCACTGCAGTAACACTGAAGTGGTGCTGGTGGTGTGTTAGTGTGTGTTGCGCTGGTCTGAGTGGATCAGCCACAGCAGTGCTGCTGGAGTTTTTAAACACTGTGTCCACTCACTGTCCACTCCATTAGACACTCCTGCCTTGTCAGTCCACCTTGTAGATGTAAAATCAGAGACGATAGCTCATCTGCTGCTGCACAATTTGTGCTGGTCATCCTCTAGTCCTTCATCAGTGGACACAGGATGCTGCCCACAGGACGCTGTTGGCTGGATATTTTTGGTTGGTGGACTATTCTCAGTCCAGCAGTGACACTGAGGTGTTTAAAAACTCCAGCAGCACTGCTGTGTCTGATCCACTCAGACCAGCACAACACACACTAACACATCACCACCACATCAGTGTTACTTCAGTGCTGAGAATGATCCACCACCCAAATAGTACCTGCTCTGTGAGGGTCCATGGGGGTCCTGACCACTGAAGAACAGGGTAAAAGGGGGGTAAAAGTTACCATTTTGGACACATGAGAGTAAACCTGGAGTTCTTGATATGGGCATGACTGCAGAATGACAACATGACTTCAGATGTCTATTGGTGGGGTATAAGCTACCAGTAATACCTGTTATCTACATTAGCTTCTTAGCTTTGCTGCAACACTGAAGATGCAAACTTCATAAACCAAATACGTCTTGATTTCATTCAGGGTGGGACTTCGATACCTTAAGAGCTTCAGAACACTGAACTCCTACACACTGTGCATATAAAACGTTTATTTAGCAGGAAACAAACACAGAGACTAATCACATGGTTCCAAAATAACTTTACAAATACAAAGCAAAGACAGGTTACTAGAAATTATGTTGTGTGGAAAAACTGCAGATAGAACAAAGGAGAATCCTTCAGATGTGCCACTTCACTGCTGTATAAAGACAAGAGCAGAACAAGAACACATCAGGAAACAGCATTTTGTCATTTTGACATCTGTTCATGCACGTAAACAATCTGCTACACAAAGTAATGTACGAGTGTTTGTGATGCACCAGAGGAACATCACATTCTCACAGTGTGAACTCACCTTTGCTTTGTTTTGCACCGGCAAATAGAGTTTGAACTCTGCCGGAAGCTCATCCTCGGAGTACAGTCTGTCAGAAAAGTACACTCTTCTTATGCGACAGTTTGCATGAATCTGGAAGATGATGGAGCCATTCATTACTTTATTTTAATACTTTTGATGTAATATGTAGTTTTGTGCCAAAAAACTAAAAAAGCAGTCTGTTTCTAAAACATCTTTTCAGTCATCTTTGCGGGGCAGGTTTTCAACACAGCTTGTCCCTCACATTCTTCTAAATTGTCAGCACTTGCATGACGCTCTCTCTCAAAATATCTGAAAGAGACAGGCTATTTTTAACCCATCTTAGCTGAAGGCTTTTTTATACCACAACCTACTTAAACCTCATAATGCTTAGATTAATTGCTAGCATGCAATGGTTTGAATTAGGATTAGTTTTAGAGTCAGGGGCTGCTCCCTCGTTAGGTAAAAACCTAGGAACCAATAAATGAACAGAGACACTTTCTCACGATCAGCTTATGTCAGAATTCATCTAATTCACTGATTCATGCACATAAATAATCTGATACTAGTTGCTTGAGTACTGGCTTCTTCTTTATAGATGTAGACGTCGGCGTAGTGTTTTGAAGTGCAGGGGACAAGGACCAGGAAAAAGTTCAAAGACGGCTAGACGTTTAATCCTTGCTCCATGACTGCAGTTTTCTACAGCAGGTACCATTCAGTGTTTCTGTTATATGACTTGCTATGTAACTGATTTAGTCTTTATTGGCCTAGAAGAGTCAATGGGCCTCACTCACCAACTTTTCTCACGAAGAAATTTCTTCTCAAACCCCACCTACATAGTTTTCACGAAGATTCTGACATGTTTTCTTGTTTGGGATTAGTTCTTGGATAAGAACAGAATCTGCACACACTAAAGAGCAAACAATTCTGTAGTTTAAGAACACGTCATGAATCTGATGTAGACTTTTTCTTAGGATCTTTCTCGAGAACAAATTTAAGAAAAAAAAAAAAAATCAGATATTGGTGAAAGTCCCCAGTGTCCCTTACTGAGTCAATGACTGAGTGACTGACTGATCTATCCCCAGCTGACACCCATTGTTGAAATACGCATATGCGACCATCACACGAGACAAGCAGCAGATGCTATACGCCATTAAACATTGCCCTCATACCCTTCCAACACTACTAACATAAGGCTAACAAATAACAGAAGAAAGCACACACCAGTCACAGAGCACTAGTACATGACCAACAGTTCACCAGAATGTTTGCCAATGTAATGTTAGCTAGCTCAAAAGCTAGAATTCTAGCGCTATTAGTACAAACCTAGTTTCCAATGGCTAAGTGGTCACTGTCAATGTTAGTCAACGTTACTACGTCCATTGCTTAGTAACAAGAGATCCACAGAGCATACTGGTGTTCTTTCAGCTGATACAGTGATCTGTGGTGTTCTCATGAAAGAACAAGTGCATTGCTGGAAACTGCACTGAAAATCCCTCCAAAATTGCATTTACGCTAAAAGAACAATGGTCAATGTAAGCAATAGTGCCTTAAAACTTAAATAGAAATTAATTTCTGTTATAGCCAGGATTACGGATAGAGGGTTCGCATTCATTTTCTTTGATTTGCCTTTTTTATATGAACTACTCAGGTTTATAGAAACTAATAATAATTGTAAGTAATTTTTTCATTTCCATAAGCTCAAGCAGTTATTTCTTCACAGAATCCACTACCCACCTGTACACGGAGCGTCTCGATGTAGTTGGTGCCGTAAGCCCTTCTTGTGAAATCGGACAAGTTGAACTGGATCTGGTTCCAGCCGTCATCCAGCCGCATGGGCATGGTACAGATGAACGGCTTCACTCGGGTGGTGCTCTGGTAGTTACTCGCCCTGAATCGCCGCCGCACGTTCTTATCATCCAGCACCTGAGACATGGCAAAAACGCAGCAGCTCTGGGGTTAAATATGTTTGATTCTTCAGAGCAAACACAGATAAGCATAGAGAATAACATGGACACAGATTTTCCCTACCTGAACTTCAAATGTAAAATACTTCTTGAGATTCTTGATTATCATAACCAGGAAGGGAAGTTTGATGCCAAGGGTTTTCTTCGGGTCTGCCGGGCATGTGATGTAGGTTGTGCTGTGAAGGCGAATCGCACAGCTATTAGCAGGATCTTACCCATAGCAATAAACACTTGTAACCACAATAAAGAGTGGTTGGGTAATCAGACTCCAGGATCACAACCCTGAGGACTCAAAGGTAACAGAGGTAACTTCATTCCCCAGAGCAACGTTACAGCGCTGCCACAGTATGATGGAAACAGTGCTCTGAAACTTTGTGCCCGTCTGTTATTATTAGAGGTCATATTATACAAAAATACACCTGCCAAATCTTATGTAAACTGTACACACATAGGACATTTGTCCCGTTTTTGGACTTATGGCCAAGTAAGGCAGATGCTGAGTGATGGATAAGATTACCTGACATTAGTTCCCTCCACCTCAAGCACCAGAGACTGGATGTCGTTGTCTGTAATCCGCTTTATATGTCCATTTCTCACCTAAAAAAAGGTTTTGTGTGAGTTATGTCAAGTAAACGAAGCCAGTTTTATTTAAACTATTTTAGACTAATAACATTTTACTTTAAGAAACATCGTTTCAAAACCCAAGTGAACGACGAGGCTGAAGTTGGCTTCCTATTCACCAGCATCTTGCTCGAATTTTCCCGTTCCACCTTAAAAGGTGCAGCAGTTACACTCTGGCTCCTGAGGTTCCAGAATGTAACTGCTGCACCATTTAAGGTGGACCGGGAAAATTCGAAG